ATCACCATTTTCAACATTTCTTAAAAAACTAATAATAAAGTTCGGTGAAGACCTTTCTAAATATGCAGAGTATCTTGTCTATAAACGTATAGCGACGTCACAAAACCAAAAACTTGATCAACCTGTAATTAATAAATGCAATAATAGCCAACTAAAAATATTCAAGGCCAATGAAAAATATAAATTAGAAAATGCTTTAAAATATAGAAATCTTTCATCAGCATTACAAGAAAAACAATACTGGCAGCCAATTTTGGCTAATGATTTCTGCTCTTCAATGTCACGAGTGTAAGTATTCATATGCTATATACTAAAAAAATAAAATAAAATAAAAAGTAAAAAAAATAAAAAAAAAGCAAAATAAAAAATAAAAAAAAATTAAAAATTTTATACCATAATAATATGCAGACAAAAGCATTGGTATTTAGCAAGCTTAGAAGTTGGATTTATATTTAAAGTCAGAATCTATACTTATTATCATGAAAACGTTTGTAACACAACATATATTTGGCGTATATATGAGGAAGCAAAGGAAGAAGAAGTGTCTAATCAACATTATAAAATCAGAACAGAAATAAAAAAATATTTTCCTACTTATTATACATGTCGTATGCATAGAGAATACATAGACATGTGCGATCTTCATCTAAACAAACAACCGAAGGCCAAATTACGATAGATATATAAAGAATTAACAAATGATATTTCAGCTGCTAAAACGACTAGTCAAAAAGAGGTTGATAAGCATGTCAAATTGGCTTTTGAACTAAACGATCCCAAAATAATTAGTGATTTGAGAGAACTTAACGAAGGTCAGCCATGTAAATATGATGAATTTTGGGCTGCAGATAAAAAATTTTTGGAAGGTACTGTGCAAGAAGCAGTAGTTGCTGTAGATGAAAGAAGATACAATCCAATTGTACATCTCGCACAAGCTATTTCAGTATGTGATCTTCATGATCTTATAACAAAGGAAGTAAAAAAAATTAACCCACAAGTACCAATTCCATCAATCCAATAGCTTCTCCTACAATTCTGGCCAACTACACCAACAAATAAAAATAGTTTACAGTATACCGGAATTTTGCCTGTTAAATTTATAATCCAGACTCATCAGCTTCAGTGTGAGCATGTTGATTTACATTTGTATCAGTGTTATTTCGATATTTAAAAGAAATAGCAATCATGTTTCGGGATGAGGCCCATCTTGTTTTTATAGATAATAAACACCGCTGTAAAGTTGGTGAACCAGATTATCCGGTCACAGCTGTAGACCATAGAAAGAGAGTGCTTGTTAATCACGACACAACATTTGTTGTTAGTGACCATGATTTTACAAAATGTAGAATTATTCCAAGTATTACAATATTATATAATATACCTAAAACAATTAAAGAATCTTATTATACTGGAAGAGTTCATGTTGGGCTAAAAGAATATATATTCGAGCCATCAAGTCCAATGTAACACATCGCAGAATTGTATAATATTTTAAAAAACCAAGATGAAGACAAGCCTTATCTGTTTATTTACACTGATGGTGGGCCGGACCATCAAGTAAATTTTCTTCATGTACAATTTGTATTAATTGCAATTTTTTTGACTTTGGACCTTGACTTGTTAGTTGCCGTTCGAACACACCGGAACACTCATGGAAAAACCCAGTCGAACACATTATGTCTATTTTAAACCTTGGTCTGCAGTGTGTTGGCCTTATGAGAAGTAAAATGGATGAAGAGTTTGAAAGTTTGGTGAAAAGCTGCAATATGATAGATGAAATTTGTAATAAAGCTAAAACAGTACCTCAACTTAAAGAAGGAATAATTGAAAGCTTACAACCTACTAAGGCCATTATACAAGATATTTTTGAATAACTAGAGTTCAAGAGAGAAAATTTTTCTACATTTGAATCAGCAACAGATCAAGAGATTGAACACTTGTGGGAGTCATTACTTGAATTGGATGATTCATTGGTATCTGAAGACACATCTAGAAAGCACATTAAAAATAAGGTCAGTTTTAATTTGTAAAAAAATTTAATATTGTTGTAAACTCATTCATAAGTGCATATATATATTTAGCCCCGCATTCTTGAATTCATAAACCATTGTTGCGGTCAATAACTTATTTTTTTGAAATTAGAAAATGTCAAGTAGCTGAAACTGGTTGCACAATTTGCAGACTGCCACGGAGTAAACCTGATATATTCATAAAATTGCAACCCTTTCCAGATCCTATTCCTAAAGCAAATGAAGATCACTATATGCCATTTTGTGAAATATATAGTAAGAACACAAGTGAAAAATACCGCCTATCTTCACTTCAAAAAGGCAACATACCTACATCAACTACAATTAATAGTCTTGGCACCAATGGTATGGGTTTCAGCCCCCGGGCACAATATTCAACAAATGTGCGTGTTTTGGTAAAGTGTGTTGAATGCAACAGACTACAGTTACTCTATTCATAACACCGTTTAAAGCCAGAAGAAGAAAATCTTCTCAGAAACTTTATAGAAACAATTAATTACACGTGTGGTACAATGTTCTATGGAATTTCAGATTTCACAAAACCATCAGTTTTAAATAATAATAATCAGACAATAGATATTAGTGATAATAACAATAATCAAACAATAGATATTAATGATAATAACGATAATCCAACAATAGATATTGTTACCAATAATGAAAGTGACAATGATACTGATAGTATGGGAGATAGTGTTGATGAATCGCCTATGGAACAAGATAAAGTGTCTTTAGAAATATTGTTTAAGCATGTCTTTGTGAATGCCAAGCTTACTTGTTTAACACCTATAGAAGTGCCATACTTTTTTTTGTGGCTTTATCCTAATATTTGTTTTCAGTGTGGCAATACTGAAATCCTTTCACCAACTTCCGCTAGTCAACATCCATACTGTATTGAATGCAATATTTCAGTCAAAGAAAAAAAAATGTACTAAAGAAAAGAGCAAAATAAGCAGTGAAATAGATGTCAGTATGACAGAGAGGGCTTAGAAATATGTAATAAATGATATAAATAATGGTAATAAATAACATAAATAATAGTAATAAATGACATAAATAATGGTAATAAATGACATAAATAATGGTAATAAATGATATAAATAATGGTAATAAAATTGCAAATTGATTGGATGTCAGTTTTAGTTAAAAAGAATGAGATGAAAAAATCTGTATAAAATGTTACAGAAAGCCTAAAAAACATAAAGTTTTCATAAATACGGTTGGTCTATACTTTAATTCAATTATCCAAAAATAAAAAAAAATTGATCTTAGACCCTTTAGTCTTACGCCTTATGCTATAGGAGAATGAGTCGATCTAAAGTATCTTGTAATCGTAACCAAGTAGTAATATTATCAATACCACTGTAAACACGAAGAAAATATAAACTTCTATTATAGAAAGCCAAATTCAAATTCGAAAAAAAGTTCTCTGTATCTAACATGCATATTAGATCTTTATTCCTGCACTTTAGACAAAGAGTATGATTCAGTAATTAGAATGATCAGGTTCAAAAAAAAAATAAAGCTTTTTTTTATTACTACAAATTCGAAAAAAAAGTTCTCTGTACTTAACATGCATATTAGATCTTTATTCCTGCACTTTAGACAAAGAGTATAATTCAATGTGATTAGAACGATCAGGTTCAAATACTACGTTATGATATATCTTGTCTATACGTTACGTTGAATATTTAACTAATCATGTGATTTATGACGTTCATTTTACGATTATTTAAAATTATATATTATACTATAAAAAAAAATCTTGACTTTTAAAAAAAAGACACCCGGCCGGGTAACGAGAATCAATTTTATTTGTTTGCGCAGCCTAATATGTTTATTATAAAAGTCTATTTGCAATATCACTATTACTAAATACAAATACTATAAAGCAAAAGTGATAATCTTTGTTAATCTTTGCTATTTCTGGCTAATAAGAACAAACTTTTTTATTAGCTTTCACACAAACTAAATGCATCAAAAATATTGAACAAGTATTCAACTGAAAAATTTAATAAAATTAAATATGTCAATATTTATAATAATAAAATCATCTGTAAAACAAAGTATCATATATAATATAAATAAATATAAAATAATAGATATTTGGTGTAATAGCTATATGCCAATGTATTGTTTATATAATTTTGTAATTATCATTATTATTATTTAATACCAATCTTATTTACTACAGTGCAGGTATCCTTAAATCAATATATAAAACATATAATTTTTAAAAGCTTATAAATAAAAAACTAAAGTAGATATTAACAAAATCTTTTTATAAAATAATAAAATTAAACCTAAAAAACAAAGTTATAAAGTTTATTTTTTTAGTTAATTATAATTTTATTTGGCTGAATTGGTTTAAAGTTAGTATAGAAACCAAAATTTGGCCGCATATATATAAAAACATAATAAATTTTTTAAAAAAATAATAAAATTTTAAAAAACATAATAAAAATTTAAGGTATTAGCCAATTAGAAGTTAGTATTCTGTCTCAAATTTGGCCACTTTAATAAATATTGTTGGTTTAAGGATGCATGCACTATATAAGAATCAATCATACTAAAATCAACAACTTAGTCGAATTGGCCAAAAAATCAGTAAACAAATTTTTTTATTAAAACAGCAATAACTATTGATTAACTCAGCCAATATCTCAATTTGGTAAAATTCTTCAATAATAGAATTTTTTCAATATTGTTTAAAATTATTTAATCAAAAAAAATTATTTTAAGTAAAAATAATAATCTGAAATAAAAATAATATATTGCCATACAATATTACTTTTTTCATAAAGTAGAAATATTGTTAATATAATAGATGAAAAAAATGTATATAATAAAAAAATAAAAAAAAATTGCAAAAAAAAAAAAACACCAAAGAATCTCACTATTCACTATAAACAGGTAAAAAAAAATCAGTGATAGATTTTTGTTTTATCGATTTTATATATTTTTTTCTTATTAATAATAAGTATTTCTAAAAATTTTTAGCTCTTCTATATTAAAATCACAACTTTCTTGTTGTTTAACAAAACTAATAAATTTTTTTAACCTATTTAAGCCTTTTATAACAGAAATTTTAGGTGGCTCTTCATTATTATTACTCATATCACCTTTCTCAAATTTCTGTTGCTTTTCTAATACAATATTAATAATCTAATCTTTATTAAAAATGTCTTCAGTAAATATCTGAGAATCATTTATATATTAAATTTATTTAGCAAGTGTTTGATTGTTGGATTTGACAAATTTGTTGTGAGGTCTATAATTAATTTATCTATATTATTTTATCATAGTCTGTTAAGTCTTGAATAGAAAAAGTAGTATCGTTAATCACAGTATTTGATAATAATAAAAAAATTCCTGTTTTTATTTAGCAATTCACAATGGTTAATTCTTCAACTTTATTCTATGATTCTGCAATATAATATATTGCCTCTCAAATATTTAATTTATTTCTATATAAATAAAAAAATTTTTAATAAATTTATTTAAAAATAAAAAATTAGTGTTGTAAGTTAAGCCAAATAAGTAAAGTTTAACTTACAACACCAATATAAATAGATATATAAAAATTGATTTAATAGATAAAGCTACTATGAATTAGACTTGAGTATAAACTAGTTTTGTTTTAAAAAAATAATTAAATAGCTAATTATATAAGAGCAAAGTGCATATGTACTTTTGATTTTTTTTTAGTAAATAGATAAAGCATCTTCTATATACACTTATTTATACAAATTAGGTATTATAGGACTATATATATTGTATAAGAAGTGAAATATAAAGTAATATTTTAAGACAATTTCCATTACTATTTGCTACTGCATATGAGTGCCACCAAGAGAAGAAAGTTCTTTATTGTTATTCATTATTTATCTAATGATCAATAACATACTGTATTGGGCTATTAAGATGACAATTTCAGAGGTTTATTCATAATTGAAAGTCTGATATGTTATCAATTATTAGATAAATAATCAATAAAAATAAAAATTCTTTTTTTTTTAATGGCACTTATATACTATAGCTAGTGTAATACATTATATATATATATAAATAGTTCTTTAAAAATTGTTTGTCATATCAGTACAGTATGCAGTGGACAAATAGTAATGTAATGTTAAATCTTTGCCCCTTTCAAACTGATTAATTATATGCTGTAGATATTTTTTTTTTATATTTGCTTTGAAGCTATTAATTATATCTATATCAAGTAGTTGAAAATAGGTAGTAGTTTTGGGTAGTAAAAACTCAATTTGGATATTTGTTAAATGAATATTAAAAAGATCTAAAATCTTATAAGGATAACCAGTACTATGATGACTTTTGTTAAAATCAGAAACCTGATTATGACCATGCCTGCACTGTGGCCATAACTATGACCATGCCTACAAAGAGAATCTTATACCTTTTGCTTGTTAATATTACTAATATTAAATCTTAGATAGCTATGTCGAGTATGCAAGTTTGAAATATGCTTGCACAGATTTTTTTTTAAATTTTTTTTGCTTTCTAGTACTTTACTCTCTGATTTCTCACTCCTCAATTCTTTATCTAGCTCTAATGCATCTTGACTATTATTATTGTTATTTGGATTATAATAACTTGTTACATTATCAAGCATTAATAAAATTTTTCAGTTTTCTAAATGAAATTTTTCATCAAGTTTTGAGAGCTACTTACAAAAGATTTCAGTTTGCATCCAAGCTTTTAAATTTGCATAATATGTTACAAGTAAGATATTATAATTTAAATGAACTATAGCTCTGGGTTTAATAGACGATCCAATTACTATTGGTTGTAATTTTTTAGTTTTAGTTGTATTTGCAGTCAGTATAACTGTAATATATGCATGATTTTAAACAATTTAATAATAGCTATAATCAATAAACTTAATTGGTAATCAACTAGTCAACTAGAGAGTGATTATAGTAAAAT